CGCCCCTTTTGCCGTTTTTCCTCTGCCCACGCGCGATTGAATGCGTGGTGATGATTTTTTCTTTTTTTTTCTTCTTTTTTTTCTCGCGGGTTGCTCGGAATCGGAATATGTGGCATTGATTGACGTCACTTGTGAGTTGTGTCACGTGGTCGCCTTTATCGGGACTTCGGAGGAAGTCTCCTTTTCCCGTTTTCTCTTTCTCTCTCTCTTTCTCTCCCTCTCTTCACCCCCTCCCCTCCCCCATTCGGCTGTGCTGACGGAGAGAGCAGCGTCAACAACACTGGATAACAAGGAAGAAAGCTCCGGGTCCGAAAACCGTAATCCAAGGTGTCTACAGCGGCTCGATTGTTGAATTGATATCGAACGACCATGATCCCAACGTATTCCACTCGAGTCCTGATGGCAAAAGGCGGTGATACAACTATTTTAACTCTGACGTAGCTGAAATTGCATAAGCATCGAATTGAAGGAAAACTCAGCGTCAGCTTGTATTTTCACCGCATCGAGACGGCTGTTTTCACCTTAGTGTTTCACTTAAATTCCCCCCGACCCTGATTCACTTTCCGAACGAATCTTTTCGGCGCGTGACCCAGCCAACGCAACGCGCCTTCCAGCGAAATATCTCCCCAAAAACCCGAATTTTTTCTAAGCTGTTTTTTTCAGCGTTTTTCTCGATTTTTTATAATGGGGAATGGGGGTCAGGCCAGCGTCACGCAATTCCAAGGAGGTGTGTAGGGCTGCGTCACTGGAGAAGGAGGGGTAAACAAATCGTAACAAATGCGTTATGTACTACTTGAACGGCCCCTTATTTAGCCGATGAGAGCGATGTTTTTAAAAACTTTCAATGGGTCTCCTGCGCACAAGAAACACAACCAACTGAGTAGATTTGATGTGAGTAAAATCGTGCGAAAAGTGAGTACATTTTTTGTTCTCAAGACGGGGATACGATCGATTCTCTGAGACCCTCCTATACCGAAAAAAAGTGAAGTTGATTTAACATTTTGGATGTAAAAAAAGTAAACGAGAACTCATAAAATGCCGAATTACCCGCTACGGTAGTTAGTTTTACGTCTTGATATTACTAAAGCAACTGCAGTAGAAGTTGATTCAGCATTTTTTAAATTTCCGCACACCTTTTTTACATCCAGAATGTTAAATCAACTTCACTTTTTCTTCAGTGTTTTTTTCCCCTGTGCCGCGGTTCATTTGACAGTCTATATATCCAATGTGGGACTCTAGATCCAATGTGTTTTTTTTCCAGTGCATCCTTTTCTGTTCGGAGTTTTTGAAAATGGCCTATTCAATTCGGCAACAATCAATCGCGTCGAGGCATGTGCGCTCGGCAGCGCCTAAACCTAAACGCGTTCGTTTGTTCCATAACTCGATTCCGCTCACGCAATCAAAACTTTTCCGAATGACTCGATCGCGCTGACTGGTAGACGCCTTCGGTCCCGGCCCCGGCGATTAGGGGGTTTTTCGCGTGTCAAGCGCTCTTGATTCGATTCTTTGTTTTTCGGCGCTCGCCTCTCTCCGATTCGCCTTCCGCCCCCGAACGCGTTCCCAATCCCCGGTTCGGCTGGCGAGATTGCCCCACTCGACGTGCCCCGATACCCGGCGATTTCCCGTTGATAAGGAAAGTTCCAGGACCATACAAACTCGTCCATTTCCCCGGACTGGGGCCGGAATTTCAAGAAGCATCTTGAATTCTATTTGGCCAAACTGCCGTGCAACGCAAAAGCGCCGTAAACGCCATTTTTCAATTTTTGGAAACAATGTATCATCGCAGAAAAACTTGTTGGTTGGGATAATGTTTTTACAGAATTCTTTCGCAAACACTATGAAAAACCAGACCTGAAAATCAAACAGTTTTTATTTCAGAAAGTGTTAAATTTCAAAAAACGAGGGAACAAGATAATACAGCACTGGACTAAAGTCCCTTGGACCTTGCGTCCCGACTCTTAAAAAATGATGAGAAAATTTACTATTGATTCAATCGGATTTTTCCTTGAATCAAGAGCCAAGCCTCTTAATCTAAGCGGATTTCCTTTTGATCCGAGCAAACATCCGATAGGATAAAGAGTATTGTTTCTTGTCAATTTTTTTCCGGTACAGTCCTAGTATCTGTATTCAATAACGTTTAGCATGATTTTTGAACTTCATTAGAGGAATAAGTTACTTGATTCAAGCAAAAATATGCTCAAATTCATAGGCGGTTCTACGGGGGTGCCAGTGGGTGCCGGGCACCCCCAAGCAAAAATTAAGTGCGGTTACCGGAACCGTGAAAGAGGCCTTCTTCTTCCTTCACCCCTCTATTTATTGCTTTTTTAACCAGTATAGAATTTAATATAAAAAGGACCAAATTATACTGCTTTTAAAGATTCTGCATTCGCTCACACTGAGAAAAAATCCCAGCAATTAATTGAAAATGTTTTAAACAGAATTCATATCGATAGCCGTGTTTTACAAAGATTCTTCTGTTTTTTTAATGTAAGATCGTAGTTCTGATGGAAAAATTTGCTAAAAATTTTCTACATTGAATTTATAGGTATTTAAGTAGAAAGCAAGAAGAGAAAAAGAGAAAGGTGGGTAGGAAAGGGATAAAACTTGAGGGCCGAAACTTAGGCCTCCCCTGAGCGACCGTCCCCTTCGGGGCCGGTCTCCGACATTTTCCACCTCTGGCCGGGCACCCCCAAGCATGAAGGTCTAGAACCGCCTATGCTCAAATTTACTGCCGAAAATATTTTCTGACTGCTGAGTGGTAGACGCCTTCGGTCCCGGCCCCGGCGATTAGGGGGTTTTTCGCGTGTCAAGCGCTC